TATAAAGGGAAAATAAGAAGAAGAAAGATAAGAATAATAAGGTACCGGCTGTGATTTCTAGTCCAAGGGCTAGAGGAGTGATGGGGAATGAGTCGGATAACCACAATATGATGGGAATGCAATGAGAAAAAATCAATTCCTCACAGTTGCAGTTGCTTGTGATTTGATCTACAAGAAGAATTATGCTGTGAACAGCAACAACATTAATAGACTCCTGATGGCCAAATCCTTGGTTCCAACTTTGGTGTGTAGTAGTGGTGTCTGAAGATGGGCAACACACTGACCGCTGGTGCTCTTCCACATCACAGAATGCATTCTCCCACAGGCTGGGTCCATTGGGTTTCAATGTATATTTAATGCTTGTTGTTAATTTCATGCATGAGGTTGAGCTAGGGGTGTGGAAGTCCCTTTTGGTCTATCTTCTATGGTTATTAGATACTGTCAATGGGGGGCTCTTAGATAGATTGGATATAAGGTTAGTCTTTGTTCATTCTCTCAGAACTCAGTGTTAACAATTGTTAAAGATATAACCAGATCCCAACTTACGGAAGTGATACTATCCGGCAATTCACAGCTAACACATCTGAAATGCAGAGAATGACAGCCCACCATCTTGAAGACTTGCTGCAGGTGAGCCCTTCACGTTTCTTTCAACATTTTTGCAGCATTTTAATTCTTCCACTATGCAGTGCGCCATTCCTGTATTCAATGGCTTAATTACCATGTTACAACCAAGAGTGAATTACTCTGGCGCACTCAGAACACACTATAGAGAAGATGAAGTTGGGGAGTGGTTACCCCTTAGGCTGCAGTGAGTTAGTTGGTGTACAACAGGAGGACTCGCTGAGGAGTCTCCTGGATCTATTGGGGTATATATACTACTACATGTTTGTTTGTACATGTGTACTATACAGTTGATTGAAGGCAGTGGCTGATGATGTCATAGGGCCTAGATGGCCAGCTCCACTGCGTGAGAGAGTTGAATCTAAAATAAGAGAAAGGCAACACGGCGCGGGAAAGGGGAAATGCCGCGTGGCACTATATGTAAAAGCTAAAGTATAGAGTTAAAGCGGAGAATAAAAAGAAGGGAAATGTCCGGAAATTGTGTTATTGTAACACTACCCCCCTTCTAAGGCTCGACTTCCAGGCGAGACCAAATGTCGGAGGTAGTGGTCAAATTTTCGGGCATAGGTTGAAAAAGGGAATTAAAAAGTTTTGAATCCATGCCTCTAAGCTTCCTGGGAGCTGAGGGATTCTTAGAATAAAATTCACGAACAGCGCTGCGGGAGTTTTCCAGATGGGTTTCTGGTTCCCACGTTCTGTCCTCGTCTCCATAGCCCTTCCATAGGACCAGGAACTCTAATTTACCACGCTTCAAGTGTGCGTCTACCACTCGTTCGACCTCAAATTCTTCTTCACCTTCCTGGGTGACTACAACCGGTCCAGGCCGGTCTACACGCTGTCCCGGCAGCGGTCCCTTGTAGGGTTTCACACGGCTAATATTGATCGTGGGTACTACCCTCATTCGTTTTGGGAGTTCCAGCTCCACCGCATTGGGTTTGACTTCCTTAATCCGGTAAGGGCCAATCCACTTTTTGGTCAGTTTTCTGGACTGCCGATCTTTTAATTTTAAATGGTCAGTGTCTAACCAGACCAGGTTGCCGACCTTGTAATCAGGGGCCTTAGAGCGTCTACGCTCTGCCCTGTCTTTCATCTGCTCTGCAGTTCTAAATAGCGCCTTGCGCATTTTGTCTAAGACAGACTTCATGTCTTTTACCATGTTCTCAGCAGCCTCATTTTTGCTTTTGCCAGGTTCCACACCCATTTTAGGGAGGTACAATCTAGTAACCTCGAATGGTGCCTTGCCTGTAGCCAACGACTGTTTGATATTGTATGAGAACTGGGCTATTTTTAGCCACTTGGCCCAATCTGTCTGTCTGTCATTAATAAATATCCGGAGATACTGTTTCAACTCCTGGTTGAGTCTCTCCGTTTGTCCATCAGTTTGCGGATGGAACACCGTTGATAATTTAGGTTTGATGCCCAGCATCCGGCATAGTTGTTCTTTCGTGAATTTGCTAGCAAATTGTAGTCCTCTGTCAGAGATCACCGTCTCTGGCAATCCGTGGATGGACCATACAAAATCTTTAAATAAATCTGCTGTACCGGCGGCGGTGATGGTTTTATTGGTAGGTATGAATACTACTTCTTTAGAGAAGCAATCCACTACTACCATTACTGAATCATACCCGTTTGACTCGGGCAGATCCGTCGTGAAATCAACCGATATATCCTGCCAGGGTCCAGCTGGTATTGGGTTCGGCATAAGTTTACCGGCCGGCGGTTGGTGAGAGTTCTTGGCCATGGCACATCTTAAACAGGATTTTACGTATTCCTGTACGTCTTTGACCATGCCAGGCCACATGTAGTTTCTGGAGATCAACTCCATTGTTTGTTGCCACCCAGGGTGCCCAGCCACTGGAATGTCATGGTGTCTATCTATTGCCTTGATCCTTGCGGACTCAGGCACATAGATTTTGTTTTTAAAATGAAAGAGCCCGTCTTTCCATAAATAATTTTCATTGCCATCAAGGCACACCTTTTCTTCTGAGGAAATGTCTTTCTTGAAGACTTCTAGAAGATCGGAATCTTGCCCAATTCTAACATTGGCAACCCTTGATTGATCTATCAAGGTAACACCTTTGTTGTCATCTTCAATGCCGTTGGCATGATCCTCTCTTCTGGATAAAGCATCTGCTTTCCCCATTGAGCTTCCAGGCTTATGAATTAATTTATAATTAAACCTTGACAAGTACACCACGTAGCGGGCCTGTCTTTGGTTCAAGTCTCGGGCCGTCATAAAGTACTCTAGGTTTTTATGATCGGTCCAAATTTTGAATTGGTGTCTAGCACCTTCTAAGTAGTGCCGCCAGTGCTCTAGAGCTCTAATGATGGCTAGCATCTCTTTGTTGTAAATTTGATAGTTGCGCTCTGTAGGCGACAAACTATGCAATAAATAGGCACAAGGTCTCCAAAGATCGTCAGGGCATTTGATTGATAGAACAGCCCCAGTAGCAAAATCAGAAGAGTCGGTTTCTAGCCGGAACTCTTTGTCTAACTCTGGAAATGCCCATATGGGCGCTGTTGTAAATGCCTGTTTAAGCTTATCAAAAACTTCTTGTTTTTTGGTGCCCCAATGCCAAACAATGTCCTTTTTTGTGAGATTGTTCAACGGTCTCGTGATTTTCACAAAGTTTTCAATAAACCTTCGGTAGAAATTGCCTAAGCCAAGGAAGGCCCTAACTCCTTTGACATGAGTAGGTTCTGGCCATTCCAAAATAGCTTGAACTTTCTCAGGGTTCATCCTGATTCCATTCTGGCCTATGATCATACCGAGGAAGTCTACTTCCTTCACTTTAAAATTACATTTTTCGGGTTTGACGAATAGGTCCCGTTCCTGTAAGCGTCGAAGGACTTCTTGCACGATCTTGTCGTGCTCAGCCTCATCGTCCGACTTCGTAAATATTAATAAATTGTCAATGTAAATGACGACACAGTTTTCCATATCCGCAAAGATCTCATTCATCATGCTCTGAAAGGTCGCCGGTGAATTGGTCAACCCAAAGAACATGACAAGGGGTTCAAAAGATCCTCGGTGGCACGTGAACGCAGCCTTCCAAGCATCTTCTTCTTTGATTCGTACATTATTGTACCCCCATCTGAGATCCATTTTTGTTAAGATCTTGACGCCAGCCAATTTGTCTACTAGCTGACTAATCAAAGGCAGCGGATACGCGTTTTTAACCGTGTGCTCATTTACGTAATGATAGTCTATAATCATGCACTTTTTACCATCCTTTTTAGGAATGAAGAACACCGGGGACATTATAGGACTTTTGGAAGGTCTGATGTAACCCTTTCTAAGTTGTTCGTCTATGAAACTAGATACCTCATCTCTTTCTGGAGCAGAGAGCAGTATCATATGTCCTTTTCTTGGTTTGAAAGTGTCCTTCAAATCTATAGCATGGTCCCAAGGCTTGGCCTCTGGGAAGCGCTCTGATTTGTGTTTAGAAAAGACTTTCCAGAAGTCATGGTACTCGGGAGGTACCAGCCTCTTAGTCTCTTCTTTGGGTTTTACTTCATCATTGTCATCGTCAATCTTTTCTAAAGATCTGAGCTTGTAAACGTGACTAGCGTTTAACTTTTCAAGACGCTCATTGTGATGGACATGATTTGGTTTACCCAAGTTCACACATTCCTGAGGGCAATGTGACAATGTGACAACCCCTGTCTGCCAGTTGATCTCAGGATTATGTTTAAATAGCCAGGTCCAGCCCAAGATTAAATTAATCTTCCCTAGTTGGGTAGCTTCGGCAGTGACTCGTTCTCTGTGTCCTTGGTATTCGACCACAAAAGAACATTTGTGAGTGATACAGCCACCTGTGTTAAGCGTACCGTCAACGTTATAGAATAGACGGGAATAGACACGTCTAATTTTACAAGGGGGAGTCCAATTTGCTCTGCCCAGACCTGATCTATGAAGATCCCGTTAGCGCCTGAATCAAGTAGTGCGCTTGTTGGGTGTACTTTGCCCCGGGCAAGGTTTTCCACGCCAACGTCTAATCCAATCTCCTTTTGGAATAAATATGTGCGCATCAACACACGCCTTGGGATTTTGGGAACGGGTGGCTCCGAAGAAGAAGGGGAAACATTGAAAGATACATGTTTTTTTATTTTATTTTTACCAGAATCAAGCACCCTAGTTTTTGTCTCGCCGGGGCCGTGCTCCAAGGGAGACGCTGGTGCAGCGGTAGTATCATAAATATTACAGTTGCATTTCTTCATACAAGTACATGCTTCAGATAACAAATTTAAAAATCTATTTACAAATTGGGGAGCCATCCCCGTCATTCCTTTATTGCTCGTGCAACACCCCGGAGCAGGGGCCACTTTGTTGTGGTTTACTTCATTTTTAATAGGAGCTAAGGTACCCAAGTGACCTAAGCCCCAAATTCTTTTCCCTGAGCCTTCATTTTGTTGACCTGCTGGTCATAGAAGAAGGCCCGGATTTCGTCATATGAACGACCGGCCAAAGAGTTGAGCCGATCGTCCGGCTTTTCGGATTCTAGCTGGCGCGCCTGGCGCCCTTGATTATTTTTTTGTTGGGCGGCCTGCGCCCCATTTCTGCAGTCTCGGGACATGTGTCCCTCCTGGCCGCAGTTGTAACAGTTGCCCTTGAATCTGCGCATCTGTCCGCCTTGGACTGCGCCGATATCCATAGGAGCACCCTGTCCTGGCTGCAGCCCAAACAGTGTCATGCACCAAAGTTGATTGGTAGCATGGACAGGTGTCAATAACAAAGCGAATATTCAAAAAGACTCGCCTTTGCGCCACACAGGCACAGTGTCATGTGGAATAGTAATTAATATTGCCTGTTTTGAACTTGTGGCTGATCAGCACCACCTCTATTAGGCAATCCAGTCACGCTCATCTTTGCTTTTCCATCTGGTACTTTCCGTGTTTCGGCATTTCGGCAAATTTTCGCGTTGCCACTGGCTACACATTGCATTGTGCCCTCGCTTTTGTCGTTTCCCTTACTCCCCTTCCTTTGCGTAGCCCCACCATGGGCCCCTTCCTCTCCTTTTTATTTTCACCCGACGGTCATTTCTGGGTCCCCATTTTAGTTCACCTCCTCGTCACCTCCACCCTCCTCCTCCTCATCTTCTTTGCTCCCCCACCATTTCTGATGTCACCACTTCCTATCCGCTTCCGTTGCCAATCCGTTGACTACCACGTGCCACTGCTGATATCAGCAAAGCCCCGGCGGCCGGTCCAAATAGGGCAACAGGTCCACCTTCATGACGTCGATCTGCCATCACATACTATCAAAACATCGGTCACTCGTCTCGCCTGGTTGGAGCATGGGTGGGTAGTTTTTGAGCTGGAGAAGGTTCATCCCCTTGCGTCGCCCATGTTCATTGCTGTCCCATTCACTTGGGTACACTTATCCTTTGTCCATCGTCTTTGCTACAGCTACACCTACCACACGCTGCCTGGGACTCACTTGTTCCAAATTGGAACTACTCCTCTCCCTCCCTCGTTTGATCAGGTGGTCCAACACAACCAGTCCATTGGTAAGGCCATGGAACTGTCGGATTTGGACTAGGTGGTGGACCGGTGGCTCCAGTTTCTTTTTTTCAGCAGAACATTCATTTGCAGTGCGATTATTTTTGATTTTTGAATCATTTTTATGGACACATATTTTTTTAGAATGCCTGACTGACAATAAAGGAACTGTGTTGATACTGATAGTGTTTTGCCTTGCCCTTTTTTTTACTGCATCTTCCCATGACATCATGATTTTCTTGCTCTCTTTTTGCTATTGGACTTTACTTTATGGCTGTACAAACCTGTAACATTACTCACAGCATTCATTGTTCTATCCCTTTCTTTCCCTTATTTTGATGATCTTATCCTGTAGCAACTACACAGGATTCGTCAGCGTACATTCCTTCCTTCATGTTCTTTCTCATTCTTTTTGCGCAGCTATACTGTGCATAGCCTACCTTTCTTTTCACTATATAAACCCCTGTATTTTACCTTGTAAAAACAGCAAAGAACTCGATTCCAGACTTCTTCTCTACTCTCAAGTTCACTACTCTGCTACTTGTGATCCAGTGTGGTCACAACACTTCCCACTTCTACCACTGTTAACTGCTGTCATTGTCACTTCCAACTTTTGAAGTCATTTTCATCCCTTTTGATTAGAGTCCTTCTGAGCACTACAGTTTGTGCGTCAGGAGCCTGCTATCACTGGGAACCTCGTCACCTCGTCATCTTTGTCGTTCTCAAACCTACTTTGTGCTACAATTAGCAAGGTAGTGCTCATCTATACTCGTCATTAAGCCCCCATCCTCTATAAATTCAACTATCCCTCCTCCTCAAAACCCACACCCATACCTCTCTGGGTTTTACTTTAAAGGACTTTCATACATACCACCCCACGAACAACCAGAGCACCCACCGTTCTAGGAGGCAAAGCCCATAAACAAGTTCCGTGGAATCTGGGAGGATTGTTTGTTAGTTTGTTTTTGTGTGTGGTTTTCTAACAACAGTTCCCATCATCGACATCGTGTCCCAGAAACATCCTGCCGGTGCCTAGGTTTGTGACAGCGAAGTGTATTCTTTCTGTGTGGTTGTTGATTTCCATTTTCAGTTCTACAAACTCTTTGATGGCTCCATCTTTGTTAAGAGTTCTATTGGCGTTCTAGACTGGAATTGGTCTTGGTATTTTATATGTTTCATAGCCTTGCTCTTTTACAAACTGAGAGTCTATACAGCTCCCAGTGCATCCACTGTCTAGTAGCGCTTTGATTGTTGTTGATCTCTGCATATCCAGCGTCGTCAGTCTACAGGTGATATTCATTTGATTTCCCTGTGTTCCTCTTATGTATTTTTTGGGAGTATGAAGCTCTAAGAGTGCTAACTCTGCATCATGTAATGATAATGCATTGAGTTCTTGTATTGTTTCTTTTGTAGCTTCTTTTTCTCTTTTGTAGTGTGTCCAGGCATTTAAGATTCCAATGGATCTTGCTTCCTTTTGGTCTCTTAGCCTTTCAGCTACCCATCTCGGTGTCCATGCTGCCATCATTATTTTATTTTATTCTTTTTCTAGGTTTTTATTTACAGGGGTTCCTGACCTGTCTTTCACAGTCTCTGCTGTGTTTTTCTCCGTAGAGATTGCTGCATCGGGTGTGAGCTTTTTTGTATCCGCCGCTGATGCTGCACTTTCTAAAGTCGTGCTCGCCACCGTAGCTGCGTGTGTCACTTCTTTATGCGCCGCTTCTGCTGCGGTTGTACTTTCTTTTGGGGTTTTTGTTACCAGTCCCCTCTTCTGGTTTGCATCTTCATTGTCTTTCCTTACTTCTTTCTTTGTCTCTGAGTTGTTTGATAAATATTTCTTATTGTCTGTATCTACTAACTCTTTGACAGGTAGAATCGAGAAGGGGTTGACATATTGTGGCTTGGCTAATTGATGCTGTATTGGTTGCCGTTTCAAAAATCCAATTTTAGAGCTTTACGCTCTTCTTTTGTGAGTGCCGCTATCATGGCACGTAAATCTATTTTGTTCTTCCCTTGTGTGGGACAGAACTTGCTAATGTGGCCTTTGATACCACATTTGAAGCACAGGCCTTTCTTCTTGTATTTAGCTTTATCAATCTCCATGGGCTTTCCTGCGCCCGTGTAGATTGTTCCGGTCCCGTCTCTGGTTTCCGAATAAGCTTTCTTCTCCGTTCCCCCTCCGTTGTCCTTCCTCGTTCTGGCCCTCTCCGTCTGGCCAAAATAACTCTTCTTTTCCTTCTCTCTTTCTCGCCAGATTTGATTGTAGTTGAGGAGGAGCTTTCTCCACTCCTCATACTTCTTTGGTGGTAGTTTGTCTACCAGGGTGTAGTTCATATTTATTTTTATTAGGGTAATCAGGATTGAATCATCCCGATAACCCGCCTTTCTTCTGAGGCTATCGAACTCTAAAAAGAAGTCCCTAGCCGTTTTGGTTCCTTGTTTAAGTTGCAAGATTTTACTTCTTGCTTCTTCTTCTTCGTAACTATTTTTAAAGGCTTCATTCAGCCTTTCTTCGAATACGGACCATTGTTGAAATTGTGCCCGCTCCAATGATAAGGAGACGGACATTTTTTCTTCGAGCCATTTGCTTCTAAAGCTAGCGGCGGTCCCTTCTTTTATGTAAGATAGTACGAAGGCTATCTTTTTCCTTTCATACCCAAAATAGGTCGGGTCCTCTTCAAAATGGAGCGACAGATGTTCCATGAAGCTTCTAAACTTCATTTGGTCTCCGTCAAAGGCGGGCGACTTCTGCTTCCATCATGTTTCTCATCCATTCTTGGATCTCTCTGGTTATGCCTTCCGGCATTGGTAGTTGAATCTGAGCCGGTCCAACTTCTGGCAATGCCTCTGCGAGGTCTTGCATTGAGTCTGTCATTGTTTCTGTTGATGATGACTCTCCGTGCCGATATTCTCGGAAATTGGCGCTGAGGTATTGGGGCAGGGTCGGGAGATTTTTGTTTAATGGAAGGTGTGGGTGATTGAAGGGAAGCGGATTTGATCGATTCAATTGCGGGTGCGTCAAACTCGCAACACCTTAAAAAGGTATGTGTGTAATTTTGTTCTGTTTCTAGCCAAAGTGCTAGATCGTCTCTGTGCATATACAAGTATTCCCCAATGACAAGTTGGATCAATACAACTCTGTATAAGCTCACAGGTTCTGTCTTTCTCTTTGTGATAACTGGGCCCTCTTCTGTCCCAGACTATTGTGTACGTAACTAAGTAATGTGTGTCTAAGAAGGTAGGTAAAAGGTATTTGTAATAAATTGGGGTCCAAACGGTTGTCCCAATGTAACCCGCTTGTTAAGCTGTCAGTTCCTCTCCAACTGGCAGACACAAATTGTTACAATTTGTCTATCTATATTACGGACTACTCATTTCTCTTTACTCATCGGTTATACCATCGGACCGATGACTCACATCCCTCACGTACACTTCCGCTCCTCTCGCATTTCTATTACTTTGTATAGTACTCAGTCCTCAACGGACAGACCTACCCTAGATAGGACGTAACTCCTATTGCCGACTTACTTCTCTATAAATACGCTTGTAACAGTAGTAGTATTCTCCAATACGATTCTACGCAGTTTACGCTTACAAAGCTAGACTCCTAAGATCAGACTTCCATACGGAAGAAGACCAACAACCATTGGAATCCCTCTATTCAGAACTACATCCTCGAACTTGTCTTCGGATAAGTCTCTTTGAACAAACTCGACGAACCCTCAGACTTTGTTAAGCACTTTGTGCGTAACACAAATGTGCGCGCCTGGTTAGAGGTATGCGAAATGAAACTATGTAAAACCGAGAAAACTCCAA